GGAAAGAATAACCTACACAACCGGAACTTATTTGAACTCATCTCTCACTTTGTTACTTATAGGTAGTTTTAAGAGGGATGTAACTATGATAGTAAGTTCAGCATCATTGTCTTTTGTCAGCTGTAGAGTTGACTCTTGACTTGTAGTCTGGAAGCTCTGCTGAGATCATACCAACACACTCACCTTCACTAGTGATGGTGGCAGTGCATGGTTTACATCCAGCTTTCATGAATGGATGCTGTCTGCTTAACTTCTAACGGTGTTTGAGTTTGCTATCCTGTCGACTCCCTGCTCGCCTGTCAGTTTGTTGAACCGTGGTGCCTTGTGTGTTGCTGTGATGCTGGAAGCTGTGCCATTAGTACTTAACATACCAGCAGGCTCACCCAGGGTTGCAAGACACTCAAAATATGACCGGGGGAGAGCTGTCTCCTTAAAGGAGAGTCAGCCTTCCTGAGGGGGAGGGAATACAGCTGTCAGGGTCTTCATTTGTTGTGGGGCACAATTGAAAAGGCCGAGACACATCTGCAAATATCTGTTAATAATAAGGATGCGGGATGAATGAAGTATAAATCTAGGAAAACTGTAAGTTGTCAAAAATGAAATGGAATGCACAAAGATTGATATCATAGGCATTATGAGCTGAGATGAACTGGTATTGGTCATTCTGAATCAGGTAATCGTGGCTTACTCTGCTGGGAATGAAAAATTCAAGAGGAATATCATCACAATCAGAAAAAAACCCCCAACACATATAATGAGAATAATAAGGGTTCCTGGGGTGGGTAAGATGGGGGAGGGAGGGGATAAAGGGGAGCTGATATCAAAGAGTTCAAGAAGAAAGAAAATGTTTGGAAACTGATTGTAGTAGCAATTGTGTAATTATGCTTGATCTAATTGAATTGTGGAATGTTATAATGTATGGAAGAGCTCCCAATAAAACGATCAATGAATAAAAAACCAAACCCAAAACAACAACAAAACAAACAAACAAAAACAAAAACATAAAATATTCTACCTTGGGCAAAAAAACATACAAAACCACTTTAAGATGAATCTTGAAGTATAATCCTGGCTGAGATAGGATGATATCTATACACATATAAGAAAGGCCATTTAATCCCATTGTTATTAAAATGTATGCATCAACCACTAAAGTCAATTATGAAGTTGAAGAATTCCACCAATTTCTCCAGTCTGCATTTGATCAAACATGCAATCAAGGTGCATCAATGATTGCTGGTGATTGTATTTCCAAAGTTGGAAACAGAGAGGCAGGATCAGTACTTGGAAGATATGGCCTTGTCATAAACATGAAGCTGAGATCGCAGCATAGAATTTTCCAAGACCAATGACACCTTCATTGCAAATACCTTTTATCAAGAACATAAATGGCTACTTTCCATGTGGACCTCTCCAGATGGAACATATAAGAA